AATATAAAGACCAGACGACAACCGCCCCCAGCAACTCATAGCAAAGACATTCCAACCACGCGAGAAGAGCTTAATGCACCATCACCAGGACGACACGTTTTCACTAGCCCTGAGCTCCAATATCTTTGAGATAAGGCTATCAGCGCTGACAAGACATATTGCAGTATCTATGCTAGTGTTGTAAGAGGGGACAGAGCCTTACCTCCTAGCTTAGGGATTGACGTACAGGCTATTAACTGCAAAATTGAAGGCAGAGGAGTCCTCTTGTATAGAGGATCAATCTGGGTGCCTGACTATGAGCCCCCCAGGACGGCATTGGTACAACAGACGCACAACTCCCATATTACAGGATACCCAGGAAGGAACATCATAGGATGGATCTTATAACGAAACTATTTCTGGCCTTAGCAGTACAAGACAGTACACCATTTTTACAAGAATTGTAATGTTTGTGGCAGGTTCAAGATCTGGCGTCAAGCAAAGTAGGGACTTTTATGCCCGCTGCCTATACCAGACTGCTTTTTTAGCAAACTTTCTATCAACTTTATGACTAAGCTTCCCGGCGACAGGGACACCCCACAAAACATGATAGTTATGGTTGACAGAGTGTTGGGAATAGTTACGCTCGAGCCACAAGATTCTATGGAAGCTAAAGCCTGTGCCGAAAAGTTTGTTTGGAGCCACTTTCGCTTTCATGGCTTCCCAAACTTCATCATGTCTGACCGAGGGAGCAACTGGGTGGGGAAGTTCTGGACTAGATTATGCCAGCTAGTTCGAGTCGAGCAGCGCCTATCGACAGCCTATCACCCTCAGACAGACGGCCAAACGGAACGCATGAATCAGGAAGTCCTTGCCTTCTTACGCGCTTTTGTGGCCTACGCACAGGATGACTGGCCCAAACTTTTACCCACAGCCCAGCTAGCCATCAACAACAGACCGAATTCGAAAACAGGAGATGGACGAGGGCAGGTTTCTCTTCCTGAATGCCCAAGCAGAGGAGGCCTGAGGTATACCAGGTACCGGATGAATAGGTTATGTGTTGAGATGAAGAGGCCGAGAGGGACAGGGGCAGAAGTGGAAGGGACTTGGAGCTGCACAAGCCGAGGTCAAATGGTACTGGGTGTGTTAGCTTGTCGAGCAGCTCCTTGCCTCTTTCCTCTGGTTAGGGAACTGGATAATATTCAAGGAATGTTGCTGACACGAAGGTGGGTGACGGTCGTGAATCTGTTTGTGAAGTGGGTTTTTCTCCAAATGGGAATGCTGAGATCAACCGGAAGGGAAGGATTGACTAGGAGCAGACTCAAGGCGGGTGACGACTGTCAATCTGTCTGTGATGAGGCTGGTCTTCCAAATGGGAATGCTGAGATTGAAGGGAAGGGAAGGGTTGACTTTATTTAAGCCCTCATGAGTCTGCACATGTGTGCGTGGATAATATTCAGGATCGCATGTGGGGAATCTTATGATCTTGGAATAAGCATATATAATAATCATGCAAGAATAGACGAATAAGCAGCATTGATGTTATACATTTGTATTTTTGAATGCTTATTTCAGTGTGCTTATCCCAATTACAAGAAATTTACCGTTGTTCGGGTATGCGTGGTGTACGGATGCTTATGAGGGTTTTGTGTATGAGAAGACTTAAAAGGTACTTGCGGCTACTTGGTGTCTCAAGCTTTAACCTGTCACGATCAGACAGGTCCCAAGCATCTTTCTGTCAATCTGTAAAGTTTATGGTCAAGCATTGGTGCCTAGCCGAGGCCGAGCAATTACGAATGTCAAGGTGGGAAAATACCTGAACCAAACTACAAGGCGTTTGCAGTGCTCATGCTACCTTTTCAGCCCTATGTCGCGTCACGGTCCAGACTGTCTTCTTGAGCATATCTCGCCACTCTTAATTTGTGATACCCAGACATAAATCTGAGTGAGGACTATATAAAGAGCATCGTTGGCCACTACGAGGTTGAAGATAGGCCAGAGAACAAGATTTAACTCAAGAACTATGATTCCCAAAAGGCCACGCCCAACTACTTCTGTACTAACCTAATAGCTTTGCCGTGTATAGTATAGCAGATAGGTTTTCGTGGCGACAGCCTCGCCTTTTGGGTATACCAACTCTAATGTCCCTCTCAGGTTATCCTCACTGCCTCGACACATGGCGGTAAGAAAAGAGCCTCACATATTGCCTGCCCGTGGGTCCCTCACGAGGTATTCCCTATTCTTCGCTTTCAGCCTGTGGACTTAGCAATGCCTCCCCCACTATCCTCGGGATGGTTTTATAGATATCATTCCAGGCGATGCCTTTAGAATCGCGTCTGGCTTTGCCTGTGCCATATACGCAAGCGTCTGAAGATGCAATGCGTCGTCCCGGATCCATGCCTGCTGGCCATGTCAGGATGAACGCGAATAGCGGCCTATAAAGCTAGCAATGTTTTCGAAGCAGAGGCTTGTCATTATAACGAGAGCTCTGAGGCCGATGGTGGAGAACCAATTGAAGCCAGAGACGTTGACGAATCCGCCGCCTGGGTCAAGTCGAACCCGCTGACGACGACAGACACCCTTCTGTTCGGGCGAACTTGGACCCCGAAATCTCTGTCTAAGGGGAGAATCATTGGCGCTAATAGCCTATATGAGAATGACTTGCTGAAGTGCTGTTAGTATGTTCGCATGCCATGCCTGAACTTCAATTTGCCATTGATTGTTTGGCAGAGCCAGCTGCACCTTCCACACATCGTCTTGAGCCGCTGCTAGCATCGAAGGACGGAATGACATGGATGGAAATAAGGCAGCCATGTCCACAACGTGCATGACCAGATCGAGTGTTGCCTTTGGCATCGGCGACAGCTTTTTGCGTTTGGTCCCAGGTGTGACGTCGTTTGAATTGGCAAGAGCGGAACACGTTCCTTCCGCGTGATCATACCACTGGTGTTGCCCGAGAAGTCATCATTAGAAACTGTACTGAAAGGAAACATGAAGCCAGTCATTACGTACCTGTTCGAGACAACCAAAGACCCCGTTGGGACGATCTTGGTGAAACATTACTGTTCCCTCAATTTCGACAGGCATGTGCGCAGAGAAACGAGGTCGTTACAGGGCTGGATATGAGCCAAAGCGTTACTTGTTATAAATAATAATGTGCCGTCCACATTCTGCGGGTGAAACTCGGGGGTGGGAAACCACCAGCTACCGTTGTTGCTACCCTTATAGTACCCTGTCCTAGAGCGGAATTAGTTAATTGTCTGTGACATAGATTGCAAGTTCTGGACAATTCTGGATGAAGAGAATAGTGATAGTAGTATGCGTCTGGTATGTACCCTCTGGTGTACGCGGCAGTGGTGTTTGGAGTATACTTGCTGACGCCGTAGGTGAAATTGGTTCCCGAGAGCTCCGGATCAGAGAACCCGTTCCCGTACGCGGTGAGGAAATATTCATCACCTGGAACAGAATGCGTAAAACCAATGAGAATGTTTGTATATTTGTTTGAAGCGTTGGACGTGACTGTATGATCATCCTGTACGATTGGCGCACGCTTTGGTTACCTTTTGAAACTTGATTTGGTCAGCCGGCGGTGAGTTAAGTCTTAGCACTGAGTCGGAGTTCATCAAGCCGGTGTCGATCTCCATAGAAGGACCATTGCACATAGAGTTGCTGAATGGGCATGTGGCATTCCGTTTAGTTGTCCATTCAATTGTTTCCGTTACGACGGGGTTTCAATGCTGAGCATCCCTTGCGTTGTAGCACCTCTTGGGGTACGCGGACGCTTGGCTCTCTATACCCAGGTAGTACTTCAATGCCACTCTATCACAATTCGTCGAGAGGGTGCTGTCCACTAAAGTTAAGTTCTGCGGCGGTACCGCCGATCGTACTCGCCAGTGTATCAAGATGGGCAGTTAGAGAGGCCCAAGGCAGGTGCCGAACGGTTTGTCCACAGTACCTAGGTAATTGAAAGAGGCGAACAACGGTGGATGCAAAGAAAAGCCCCAATTTGAGCATAACCTAGTGCTGTGGAAGATCGGGCTGGCATGTATCTCTGGGAGGACCTTGTTACATGCGATGAGCAACGTGAGCAGTTGTATGTCAGAGGTGCGACGCAGTGAGAGCTACGTATAGGGCCAGGCAGGCTGTAAGCAGCGTGGCGTTGCCTGAGGACAGGGTTATTGTTAAAATCGAGGATCTAGTTGCCATTGAACTGATTGGTCTAGAAACATATGTTAAACCGGTGTAGACGCTGCAGGAGGAAGTGCGGACGGGGGTGGCCTTGCGGACGGGGGTTGCTTTGCGCAAGAGGGTGGCGGTGCCATGTGAGGTCGAAGGCGCGCTAGCTACCGCAGGCCAAACGTGACTTCCTCCTCATCTCACATGCTACCTCATCGCCAAACATGATAGATCTCCGTTGAGAATTGCCCGCAGCTTCGGGAGACGGGATTTGCTGCCATTGGCGAGGGCAACACGTGCGAATGTGTCCCAGAATCGTGGATGCATGGATCGGATCTCGTTTGCTGAAAGGTAAGGTACGTATCGACATAATCATCTTGACGTCATGCCCACGACACGAGAAACGGTGTGCCTTCTGGCAGGGGCCCAGAATACGATGTTACGATGACTAGTATTCTGGATGTTCTGCTTGCTGTCTAGAAGGATGGGAGCTTGTCCCATCCGAAAGGTCTCTTTAGTCTAGATACAGTGCAAACGGTACCTTGTCCCTTGGGCAACAATCCGGCCCAACCGACAAGACACCTGACAGCTGGGATCAGCTGGATCCGCAACGGCACGTCAACCTCAATACCGCGGTGACGCGTGCGCATAATCTAAGTGTTCAAGTACACAATCCCTACCTACCTACCATTTCGTGAACAGCTCACGCGATCTCAACTTCCTCAATCTCCTCAGCAAGCCACACATTCCGTGCATATGCTGTACATCCCCAACTATCTCGACTCTCTCAAGGCACCACGGTCGTACTTGCACCTATCGCAGAACAACCAAATATAACCGCAACCATGGTGGCAGACGACTCCAACATGACGAACGGTGTGTCTTCCACCCGTCCTACCGAGAAACAGGCATTCGAGGCCACGCCGCCAACGAAGCACATCGAGCGCATGCACCGCGCTGGAGAGGCGAAAGGCGAGGTCGGTATCGCTCTCTCAGAGCTGTGGCTGGGACTTGCCGCACAAAAAGATCACGACGGCCGCGTTAACATTGCTTTCGCATGCCACGACGGCACCTATACCATAGACTTTGCAGTACACCAGCTCAGCGTGAAGGAGCAGGATGTCCGAGACAAGCAGGACAGCGAGTGTCCTACGAGCCTGCCAACCGACTCGGCGGGTCAGGCCACAGCGGTTGCCGAGTACGTAGTCTGCAAGATCCGCAACTACTGCTCACAGAACTCGTACAAGTTCTTGGGCGCTGGTATCTCGCAGGAGATCATCAAGCTCAGCCCGCGGGCACCGGCACGGCTATGGGCCGAGCTCGATATTGTGCCCATCGTCATTAGGGATGAGGAAGGCGGCAGCATGGAAAGGGCGAAAGAAGTCGATGCAGTACTAGGCGTAGACGAGCTCGCAGATTCCATGGCGAGGAAGTGTTTACAGTATGCCAGACCCTTTTGAAGAGCTGCGATCCCGATGGCACACGTGTTGACGATGCATTTAGGTACTTCGGACCGAGCGGACAGCCACGAGTACAAGTCGGCTTCAGCAACAAAGTTGAGGTTGACCTAGACGGCCGTGCTCAACTCACAGCGCTCGAGCAATACAAGTATGCCGTGAACGAGCACACATGGAGCGCAGCGTTGAAGTACGCCCAGTCCCTCAAGCAAGGCAAGAAGAAGTTCGCATTCTTCTCTGCGACACCGCAAGGAGGTGGTGTAGCATTGATGCGACATGCGCTGGTCCGCTTCTTCAGGCTGCTAGGTGTTGACTGCACATGGTGGGTGCCGAAGCCCAAGCCTGAGGTCTTCCGTGTCACAAAGACCAACCACAACATCCTCCAAGGCGTAGCAGACCCGAAAGAACGACTTACTAAAGACCACCAGAAGCTTATTGATGACTGGATTAAGAACAATGCAGAGCGCTTCTGGACCCGGAAAGGAGGCCCTCTGGCGCCTCGCTCCGAAGGCGGAGTCGACGTCGTCATCGTCGATGACCCACAGATGCCTGGTATCGTCGACATCGCCAAGGCCCAGGACCCAGATCGGCCAGTCATCTTCCGCTCGCATATTCAAGTCCGCTCAGACCTTGTCGCGAAGCCCGAAACGCCTACTGCTGGTGTATGGGAGTGGCTGTGGGTCAGCGCACAACACGCCGACCTCTTCATCTCCCACCCCGTCTCAGCTTTCGTTCCGCATACAGTCGAGAAGAACCGCTTAGGCTACATGCCTGCAACAACTGACTGGCACGATGGTTTGAACAAAGAGCTCAGCGAGTTCGATACGCGATACTACCTGCACGAGTTCAACACCGAGTGCCAACGCCAGCGCATGACCACCCTCGCATTCCCAAAACGCGATTACATCGTCCAGATCGCACGATTCGACCCTGCGAAGGGCATTCCGGACGTCCTCGCCAGCTATGCCGAGTTCAGGCGGAACTCAGACTTCTGCAAAAACAAGAACAAGGATGAGACGCCACAGCTGGTCGTCTGCGGACACTACAGCGTGGACGACCCGGATGGCGTGATGGTGCTAAATCAGACGCTCGAGCTGCTAGACACGAAGTACTCGGATATCAAGGATAGCGTGGTGGTCATGCGTCTGGGACCGACCGACCAACTGCTCAACGCCCTGATGTCGAATGCGAAAGTAGCGCTACAGCTCTCCACGCGGGAAGGTTTCGAGGTCAAGGTCTCCGAAGGCCTGCACAAAGGCGTTCCCATGATCGTGACGCAAGCCGGCGGTATCCCGCTGCAGGTGCAACACGACAAGTCCGGATTCTTGGTCGAGACGGGCGACTCGAGCGCAGTGGCGAAGTACCTGGATGTGCTGTTTAGCGACAAGCAGAAGTACGAGACTATGTCGCAGTTCGCGGCGAGCCACGTGAGCGACGAGGTAGGTACGGTGGGCAATGCAGTGTGCTGGATGTATCTGGCGGATAAGCTGAGCAAGCGGGGAGAGAAACTGGAGCCTAATGGGAGGTGGATATGGGACCTGGCGAGGGATGAGGCGGGCGAGTCGAAGGGGAGCAAGGAGGTGTGGTTGCCGAGGGATTGGACGACGTAGAGAAAGTCAGTGAGTCATTGAGACGTTTCTCTTTGGACCGTAGACGCTTGCCACGTGTCGCGACGAGCGAGACCTATAGCTCCAGAGATAGAGACAGCTGCTTCGGTAGAAACGTCACTGCCTCCCCAAACCCTTAAACCTCCTCCGGGCCATAGCCCAAAGACCCTCCGTTGTCTCCTTAAGGTCCATATTCTCCAACACCCACTGCACGGCCTCAACTACCGTATCAGGACGATCCCGGATTACATGATGGCCCACACCTTCCAAGTGCACGTACTTGTTCTTCCGCGAAAGCCCCAACTGCCGCTTCTTCAGCCGCTCGTCCTCGGCATCGCACAGCTGCAACATCTGACGCTGGGCTTGGAGTTGCTGTCGTAGTCCATCCGCAACTTTATCACCTTTGCCAGGTTCCGCCTCAGCACCCATCATCCTCTCCCGCTCCTCCAACCCCCTCCACTTCCCAATCAGACTATTCCCCCGAACCACGACCAGCGGCCTGTCGCCCAGCACACAGCGCCGAAGCTGCACCTCGTCGACCCGCGCGTCCAGCCCGCCCTCCTGTCCCGTCTCCACCAGGACGACGCCAACCACGTTCTTTCGTTCTTGCTGCAGGAACAGGCGCGCAAAGGCTCCGCCGTACGAATGCGCCACCAAAATATACGGGCATTGCAGGTCACTATAACCTTCTTTGCCTTCCCGTTTTCCCCGTTTCGTGCGTGCTACTCCTGCTGCTTTTGCTTTTGCTTCTTCTTGCCGTTTATCATGTGAGAGAGGGGGCAGATAAGCACCAGACAGAAGGTAAGCCCGCAGCTTCTGTGTTGATACTTCAGGCGTCGGGTTGTCGGCCCCGCGCTCGTACAGCAGGACGCGGCAGCGCGTCTGCGCGGCGAGCGCGGTGGCGAGCGCGTCCCAGGTCGGCGAGCAGGACTCGCCGGAGCCGTGGAAGCAGATGATCAGGGGGCTGGGGGGCCGGCTGGAAGAAGAGGAGGCGGCGGTAGTGGTGGTGGTGGTGTCAGGCGTTAGGAGGCGGTGCTGGGAATGGTCGTCGTCGTGAAGTGGGCCGGGATGGGAGCTGGGACCGGGATGAGCCGGTGCTGACGGTTCTGCCGCCATGGTGAGGAGGTGGCTCGGCGGCGAGTTGTTAGACTGTCGCAGCTGGAGCTGAAGGAGACCAGGGCTGTCGGCGCAGGGCGTGAGCTACCGCGGCTGCATTCAGACCTCTTCGAAAAGACCGACCATCTCATTTCGCATGGCAATGACCACCTGCATGGTTTATTATTTGGGATGCGTTGAGCAAACACGTGTTTGCCGCGTGGCTCCATTATTGCATGTCCCGGGTTCCATTTTTGTATCTTTGTGTTTCGTTAGAGAGACTAATTGCGACGCACAGACCATAGCGAACAACAAGTAGGGTTTACCAGTTGATACCACGCGTGAGAAGAGCGCCCACCAAGATCGTTATGGTGCACCTACAGGCAGGCCGGTTTTAGACTAGTGATAAGTCATCAAATCTTAGTTTAATATCAGTTACTTCATTTCAAGACTATATCAGCTTGTTGTCTCTGGGGGTATATCCAATCATTCCGTCCATATGCAAATCCAAATCCGCTCCATTTAACAAGCTCTTCGCCGGCCCGTCACGGATGCCGTGAAACTCCAAGCAAAACAAAACCGCCTTGTCGACCAAGGGGCCCTCGACAGATGATATTCGAATTCCGGCCAAGTAACCGCCAAGCCGAAAAGGCGGATACCTGGAATCGGAGTCCCGTCTCCGAACGCCAAATCAATGCTGATGATGCCATGATGCCGGTGACTATGCCATGTACGCCACAAGTCAGAAATTACGATGCACCTGATCATCTAAACCCAGGAAACACCTTGACAGCTGTCCGTTTCCCTATTGATCATTAGATGCAGCCTAGAAGCCACTCGATCATAAAATATACTGACAGCGTGGCCGCCCATCATCGCTATTGGTTTCGTCGATGGAATCAGCGAGCTCCTGCATACGCTCCCTTGGCGTCATTGTCGCTACTGCGCTAGATCTCGTGATAGGATGCTGATCCTGCAGGCGAACTGAGGTAATCGGATTCGGTGCCGACGGCGATATTCGGAACAGCCTCTCCTTAAGAGTGCTCCACGATGATAACCTCCGACATCCGCTTTCAATGTCAGGTGAATTGATGCCGCTTGACCTGAGTCTCCGTGTCCCAAATTCCCTTCGGACCATCGAGTTCGTTATCCTCGGGCAGTAGCCTGGTGGCAGCATGGATGCTTTGCATAGCGGACACAGCGAGCTCACTTCGCTCAGGAATTCGTCGATGCAGTCCGGGTGAAATATGTGTCCGCACGAAAGTTCACGGATGATGGTCGCTTTTGACTCGTAATCGTCTAGGCAGATCAGACAGGTAGGTTGGTACTCCAGAGGAAAGTGTCCCTTCCCAATGCTTCCGCTGATTGCCTTTGATGAGGCTTCAGGTAACTTGGATATCGGTGATTGGGGGGACTGGATCGAAGTGGGTGATGACAGTGGCGGGTCATAGTTGTAAGTAAATAGGGGAAATGTGAGGATATGGTCCGGAGGAACGGTCAATCGCTTGATACCGAGGGCTTCGAGGTTGACCTCGCCACGCGTCACTCGACGACGCAATGTGGCTCGGCGGCGGCTTTGGACATAGTGCATAAGCAGGGACGTGCCGCCAATAACGACGAGCAGTACGCCGATGATAATCAGGACGAGAACCCAGAGCTCCAGTACTGCGGGACCCGTCGACACTGTCAACTCGGTCCACACACGCACGTAGTCGGCCGGGTTGGGGGAATATGTCGCGTTGATTTGGTCCGCGAACGGGACATCAGCCAAGTCACCCGAGTAGAAGCTGAGCTGGCGCATCATCTCGTTCCCCGAGGCACCAGGTATGGCATAAACGGGATAGTGGTGGTCCTTCCATTCCTCTCCATCGTTTAGGTCCCATACCTCGGATTCGGCTTTTGGTGGTGAAGCAGCGTCACCATCTGGGAGGTAGAACAACATGCCTCGCAGGGGATCTGACCCTGCGGCGGTGAGAAACGAGCTCGTGCAGTTTGCGTTGATCCATGGAGCGAGAGCGATAGAATTGTAATTGGTGTTGGGCAGGTTCTTCTGCCTGGTGACGTTCGCTGGGATATAATCCTTTGCTAGGCCATAGCATGGATCGTCGCTCTCAAGGTCTGGCACATACAGCAGACCTTGGACGACTCCATCTGGGGTTCCAACATAGTTGGTGGATAGAGTAGTAATGTTGCCATTGATGTCTTCTGAATATGCTATCTGGCTCTGCGAGAGGGTGTCAACAACGCGACAGACAAGTTTGGTGCATGGTCAGCAGCGACTTACAGAAAGGGCGGTGATGTTGCTGAGGATGGTGCTAGGGTTGGAGTGTCCGTTTGAGTAGGTGGGATTGGTGAACAATAAGCTGCAAACAAACCAGTCAGCACGGAATCATTCACATATCATACTTGTCAGCTCAATCCATTGTCTGGTGTGATTGCGTGATTGAATTTTGGTTCCGACTTGTCGAGTTCAGACTGATACAGGTCGAAGACATGGTGGGTGGCGACAGTAAGACCAGGCGCGGGGGCTGGGTGCGAGACCATTTGTGTGTGCAACACAATCTTGATGCTTCATGGCGGTTGAGACGCCGCAATCGCGCCCGATGACACGACAGGACACGACAGGTCTGGTTGGAGACGTCGGTGCGCGTGTGCCCCATCACCACCGCCACCCACCATGATGGTTGATCAACCGCCGCCGTCTATCGGCCCAATCAATCAACCATCAATCAATCAATCGATCAATCGGTCAATCATTCGGTCAATCATTCGGTCAAACAGCCGGGGAGTCAGACGACAGATCAAGCTTTCGTACCAAGAGCCCGGTGGATTGGCACCGCCGATCAGAGGGTGGAAAGAAGGTGGAAAGAAGCTTTTGCTTGGCAACGTACACGACATTCCGAACGGCTTGGAGTGCTGTAGGGCGCAGAAGATCAGGTCAGTTGCCGTTGCCAAGGGACTTTAAAGGGGCAGAAAGTGGGAGAGGGCTTGTGCTTGGGGTCTTGGGGTCTTGGGGTCTTGGGCTGGGTTGGCGCCAAGGGGAACAAGAATCAACGGCGTCGAGGCGCTGCTTGGCAGACGGGAAGTCTGTTGAAGTAGAACACGCAGCAGACGGCCATGGAGGATAATAACACCTGGGTACACATATACACAACATTGAACCGAGATGATAGGTGACTGGATGACTGGCTGACCGGACGGAGTGAAGAATTAGAGGAAGGCAACAACATACACATGCTCTTGAATCATCATCCAGATGGCCCGCTGAGACACGACGGTCGGCAGCGCGAGACACCAGACACCCGGGCAGGTTTCGCACAGGCGCGCGAGTTGTATGTAAGAGGTAAGTGGTAAGTACGTGCGTGTGTGGGTATGTAATCGGATGATAAGCGACGCAGCAGGCAGGCAGGCAGGCAGGACAAGGAAGGAGACGGCGAGGAGCGGCGAACGACAAAAATGATGTTCTTGGCAAGTTGGGGGTTTATGGGGGACTCGGGAAGAGGAGTCGAGATGATGATCAGGGATGGGGGAAATCATCAGCTGCGAGCCTGGCAGTCCTGGCAACCTGCACCTGCACCTGCACCTACCCAGGCTAGCCAGGCAGTTGCCAGGTACTGTACCCAGCTAGACCTGTACCTACATTAGGCACTGTACTGTAGAGGCTAAGGTTAAGTTAGTACTGTCGGGTGCACCACCCAGCCCACCGTCCGTGGCACTGGCAGCGTGGTTCGTTCGCCCGTGAACCCTGCCACAGATCCCCAAGACCCCTCGACGCGCACCCGCTCATCACCTGCAGCGCGCCGCCAGCGTTGGTTGCAACTTGCCTGCTTGCATTCTCCCAGAGAATCAGGACCAGGTGCTTCTCAGACAGTCAGACTCCCATTCTCTATCAATTGCAAAGGACTCAGTCGGCAACTGAAGTTCACTGAACTGGTGCTGGCGGGAAGACTCCAAGTCAACATCCGATAGTCCGACGAGCTAACGATAAATGAGCTGCCAGTGGCCACCGACATACAGGTCGACCCTGTAAATATTGTGTCAAGCACGGTATATAACAAACACTCGCACTGTCTGTTCTGCATTTCTTCTTAATTATTCACAACAGAAAGTCGGAGTATCTTATCATGTCGAGAGATACAATGCTCATGTGAGGTATTGTGTGTAAAAGTGACTGTTGGAAATTCAACTTGGACCAGTATATTATTAGGTAACCTAGCAGTCTTATAACCAATCCAGGTTGTCAAGCATGAGACTTGTAGTATGAAATGCCAAGCGTTCGAGACTCACAAAATCTGGAAGGGCAGCATACGATCCACGGGAACGGCAGATCAGCCAAGACTCTTCAAAGTTGACAGGTACATAGAACGCACACAGCACGGTTCCGAATGAGGATCCTGCATGGCGGATCAATGGATCATGATAGAAGGATGGGGTAAGAGCCTAGAACCAATCAAAATCCATAAGCGACTGGATCAGTGACGATGCCACAATGGCGTTCATGTTGCTTGACTCGGACGCGGTGACTCTGGTGAGTTCTGCTCCAGGTTCTGGCTCCTCGTGCATTATGATTCGAATCGCAGGCAGTCATGGTATGACACGAGTGCCTTGCGTAGGTACCTAGGCGATTCCACGAATCGTCCACTCTGATTACCGTACCTTATGTAATTGCCAGTCGCCCGGTTGCATGTCGCAGGTAGACGTTGTGGACTTGTGATGGTGATCCGGGGCAGCCGACTAGCGTCTATTGGACTCGCGTGGCCAAAGCTTGTCCCGCAGTCCTGCCGCCTCGGAAAAGCTTGTCTCGTCGTCGTATGCATCCTCACATACCTAATCAGTCACATAATACCCCAGGCAAGCACCTGCATTGCATGCCAACGTTGCATTCTACCCTATCTAGGTACCTATGTGCCAACGAGAGTTGCCGCCGGCGAGAACACCAAAGCTGTCTGACGTCGGATGTGGCTCGATGCGAACACTGCGACAGAAGATACCTCAGACTGGCCATCATTTGTATGAGACGTGCAGTCGACTGGAGGTGTTTCGAAAGTCGCGCTTGTTCCGTGTCTTATCTTATCAGTTATCACCTCTCCAACTTTGCGTCTGGTGGAGATGACATCGACGACAACGAGTCCAGTCCAACGTACTTCACGTGCGACGATGGTCCACCACCGGGCGTTTCGAGCGAGCGCTTGCATTTATCGCAATCCCGTCCGAGTGCTCCGAGCCTTCCAAGTCATGTACGCCATTTGGATCGGCCAAGGTGGCCACTAAACGAATGACATGACTCTAGACTCTGGTGCCCGGATTGATGCGCAAGATTGAACTCGTGCGGTGAACAGATAGGAAAACCTTTCATGACGGAGCTCCGCGCCGAGTATAAAGGTGCAATCCCGGACATATATCGAGGCCGGGAATAATCGGCACGGTCATGTCGACTTGGTGTTCGAGCACCTACACAATTTCCAAGCTGAAATAATAGCTCAATATTGCGGCTCGTTGACTATCACTCTGCATGTAAGCCTGCAGTCATGCAGTGCGGTCCAATGACAGTAGTCTTACATGTCGTCAGAGCTCCCCTCCTCCTTAATTCGATGCGACGTGGGTGCATATGCTGCTGAGGCAGTTGAACGCACGTGGCATCCAACATAGATTGCTGGGCCGGTAGTTCCCCATCATATGATCACGATGGCAAGAGCGAAAAGCACACCCGCCTTGCTTTTTGCGCGCCGTCATCGACCATGACCTCAGGCTGCGCATTGAGGAAAACATGCGCGCACATATTCGGAATCTCGGTCCGGCTTCCCGCTGGATCTTGGATCAAAAACTATTCTCACGCATCTCTCTTCCCTTGAAGTTTCAGCTGGGCAAATTGTACTGTGCGATGTTCATGCTATCAGGAGCTTTTCAGCTGACCTTGAGTCTTTGGAATAGAGTTTCGGCATGAGAGAACGGTGTCTATCGAACGGATTGAAATTCCTACGTACGGAGTGAGTGCCGGGCGTATTAGACATGACAGGGAGACCTTGGCGCCAGTCCACTTACATGTACAAGTCGTCCGGCTTCGCGGTTCAACCAACGAAGTCTCGAGAGGTTGGTCTTTCCAGTTCTCTCGGTGCTGGTATGCATTTTGTGCCATCTCAGAGGGGGCCACTGTGCAATAGCTTGTTGGAAGGGGTTCAAGGATACATATATTCTGGTTCAATTAGCCGTTATCGGTCAGCACAACGGCACTGGAATGGAGAGATCTCGAGTGGCCTCCAGATTACATTGTCATCATGTACCGTCCCCGAGTTCCTGTTAATATCTCGTGTGTGGTGATGGGATATCAATGCATCTTGGGTTATGCACAGCCGTTGAAACTACAGTCGGGATCTTTCCTGGAACTTCTCTATGTCCGTTATCGAGTGAAATAGGTTTGGGGTTGATTGGCAATGCTCGCCTTGCGAAGTTGCCGCTGCTCTACGTTCTTGAACGACCGGGCTGACAATGCGTTTGGCAATAAGATTTGCATAATTCGCCAACAAGACAGTATCAGGAGGACTACAGGCTGTGGGCAAGGGACAACAGACGAAGCGTCGGAACTGGATTTGGTGAATGCTCCTATGGAGCCATGCCTCATTGCGGGGAACACCCCGGACCAGAAAGGCAAGGGCGGTAACGCAGGCGACAACATGCATGATGATATCGTGGATCTGTACCTTGACCCAAGTGTCTGATGTCGTTAGGGAGGTCTGTCAGCTCGACGGTCCTTGCTTGGCCTGGGAAGATCGCAGATCCCTTATCTACTTGCGTTCGCAACGCGGCACCTCAACGTTGGAGGCGTGATCACGCTTTTCTTGGACAAGTGGGACTGTAGGGGCCAGAGACGGCGTAAGTCGCTGCTGGAGCATCCGCGTTGGGTATATCGCTCTCTAGCATGATCGTCGTGGTCGAGGACCGTCCAAGGCATGTTTTTGATATGAGCTGTGATGGGACTGGCAAGTTCCCCGGCAAGGTTGCAAAGCTGATCCTACGTGCTTGTTAAGAATGAGCAAGATCTGGCGATCATTGCGGCGCCCCTGAGGTTGGAGAATGTGATCTTGTTCCGGGTAAGACGCCCGTCGGGACTCGGTGGATCAAGTACAGACCTCCTGATATCCATTACGGATGACGGGAGGGCTGCCGCGCACGAGGCGCGACCCTGGCAGGCATCATGGCTCGGAAAAAGCCCTGGAGCCGATGGTCTCCGTCTTCACTCCATTGCTCCTTGCATCGATCATGCGGAGCAGCTCACCAAGAAGGCCAATAGCAAATACTAATAGAAGCATCTGCGTTCTCCATGCTCTCGTGGCCACGCGTCAGGTTGCATGATCGGCCAAATACAACGAGTACACAGGCCCGTCCCCTTACATGTGCTTACGGACAGGCATGAGGTACCGACCAATACATGAATGGTGGGGTCATCTCCTCTTACAGCGTATGCAGTCGATTATACGCATATACTACCAACACGTCTTGGCTAGCATTAGGTTCTCAATGTATAAATACCGATAGTAAACCAACAACAGCCTGGGCAAACCAACATCCAACCCCTCCAAGCTGGCGCCCGGCGCACCGGCTGGTCTTTCAGACTTCGACTTCATGCCTTTCACATTGAATGATCCTACTAGCTCGATCACTCTGACAAGCACGACACAACCGGCATGCTCAACTACGCCCGCGTAATCTGAACATCGCCCTGCCGCCACCAGTGTCTCGATCTGCGCCCTCCTTACAGCCCCAGCCAGATAATGCCCATCGCCAAACTACTCGTTTTCGGCGCAACCGGCGCCACTGGTCGTATCATCGTCGAACGAGCCCCGGAGCTTGGCTGGAAAGTCACCGTTTGCGGGAAGCGGACGCTACAGGAACAAGCCAAGAATGAAGCCATCACGGTAGGAAAGTTCACGATGCCACCTGTGATGCATGTGCGCTAAGACCTACTGCGCAGACCGTGGAGGGCCCCCTCGACGATGAAGAGACCCTGCGAACTGCAATTGCCGGCCAGGATGCCATGATCTCCGTCTTTGGCCCATCGAACCCCCGTGCATCAACAGCCATATTCATACCCTCCTACAAGCTCATACTCTCAACGATGAAGAGCGAAGGCGTCAGGCGCATCACTGCGCGGAGCACGTTCAGTGTGCCGGACGCGAAAGACAAGTCGAGCCTCCTGCGCTGGTTCCTGGTCACGGTATTATGGGCCGTTGCGCACAAGGTGTGGCAGACCGTGATTGGCATCGCCAAGGTGTTCGATGAGGAGGGCGACGGTGTCGATTGGACTCTATTTCGTGTGGGTTTCCTCGCAAATGGACCTCGCTCGAGTGTGGTTGATGGCTACGTTGGTGACGGAACTGTCGGATGTATTTGAGGCGTGCTGATATTGCCGAATGGACTTTGGCCCAGGCAGCAAAGTCTCCGCCGGATTTCGTGCATGCGAAACCAGGCATCTCATCGGTCTAGGTGTGATGAAAGCTTGTCAACTCTGTCGTGTATTCAACGTTCTACATCCTACCAGGCAAGCTAGCTGTCTCTCTCATTTCGGCTTGAATATTAGGAATTGGCTGCTATCCGGGCCAATGCTCTCCATTCAGACTACATTCTCAGGTCTCTCTACCTTTGATCATCTGGGAATGAACCATCGTACGGGAGCAGTATGCATGGGAGACCCATCTTGATCTGCACTGCTGGATAGAAAGTCCCCGGACATACAAAAGGTCGCTAGACCCTATCATCAGAAGCTGCCGTTCAAACGCAAAGCTTAGTGTCAAGGTGAGTCGGTGCCCGCTTCAGATCAGCGCCTGGTCATTATCAGAGCTTTTCTGGGTCCCATCCGCAAATGAAGACCTCATGAGTACTTCATGGTGGACAGGAGTGTGTCATTACCGTTCAGTACCAAATCCAACGTAAGTATTCCTTCGATCTGTTTATATCCAAATCAAAATCAACAGCCCCCGGAACCTGTATCGCCAGGGTGAACCGCCCCCAAGTGAGGCCCCGGAATTAGGTTCACTTACGTGCTCGGCGTCGACAATTGACTCGTGAGCAACGAATGCGTATTGTTGCAGTGCCGGAAAGTTTTACGCGCCGCATTACACCTACAATCTACAAGTCGCCGACGAACCTTCCCACAATCTCTTGGGTAAAGAGAGATCTCAAAAGGAAGGGCAAGAAAGAATTCGATCAATAGTGGAAAGACCAATCAGAACCTAGGTATCAAGAAGTATACTCGCATGCAGTAACTAAAAGAGACCTTATATATTTTGAAAGGAGCACTCTACACAGACTTCTAGCGGCCAGATCTGGACATGGCGACTTTGCTAGATATCATGAACGTTTTGGGCATACAGACTCGAATGACTACTGCAGCTGCGGTAAGAAGAAAACACCACAACATATTTTCTTTTGTAAGAGGCTTGGGAAAAACTGACTGCTGCCAAGGTGCTCGCCTAGGACAGCCTATTTACAATACTTGGGGGAGAGGAGCGCGGAATGGGCAAGATCCGTTGAGAAAAGCAAGTTCTTTTCATCAATCTGCCCCTGATAGATAGCTGTTCTTGAAGGACCAGGTAGATGACCCCAAAGTCATACCACTGCAATAACGGGGATGGGCTCGTGAGCGGGACTGACTGTACTTGTTATCTTGATATCTCCACAACCCTGCGATGCAGAGGCTCTGGGAGGCGTGGTTTGCACTACTGAGGAGCAATCCCCCACGTTAAATACAAAACAAACAAACAAACAAACAAAACTCAACGCAGATGTAGACAAAGCGCCATACGGTTCGTCTAGCGTAACCCAATATAGCACCTCGTTCAATACATCATACTGACTTGACCATTCACGTGGAACAACAGGCCCGCAGCCCAAGATCCTCCACACAGCGGCAAAAGCCATGGACGAGTTCATGTCCTCAAAGTCTTCGGATATAGCTGTCCGCGATGTTTGGCATGCCACGGGGCTGCGATACGCGAATCACGGCTCTCTCATCGCTGCAGGAACACAAAGCCCGCCCCGCCCTAGCGACCACGAGATCAGCAGGTGGCGCAAATGGATGTATACGAAGGATCTCTTTACGCAAGAGGGGACGAACTTTACTGGGGATACACCAGGTAGTAGCTTCGACGCTGGCACGCCAGCGTTCTTGTCACTCACCACTGGTATACAATCGTTGGGCATCGAGTCATCTCCGGCTACCCAGTCCATGGACGGCGTATCAGTTGACAGTGTCACAGACCTGCTGTTCAGTGGTTGAAGCGGTGGCCAGACGAAGGGGATATCTCAATCTCAGCTTACGGCAACGGGGCTCTCGTTGGAGCAGCTCAACCGGATGGGATCCATGATGGGTTACCAGCGATTCCAGCTACGTAGATAAGAGTTCTGCTATTTGCACCTTGTCGGGCTAGCCACCAAGCTCACGGCTTACCATTAGATCGAGGGTACCGGTGCAGTTGTAGGTACAGTTGTCGGTGCAGCTGTCGGCGCAATTGCTGGTGTAGCTGTCGGCGCAGCTGTTGGTGTAGTTGTCGGTGTAGTTGTGCGGAGATAGGGGGCTATTGTAGCTTGCTGGCAGGTGGGGTGTAGAGACAGGTATGTTCCGGCAAGACATAATGAACAAGATCCTTACCTCAAATGGTATATCAAAGACGATCCACCCGGCTTTGGGTGGGTTATTTGAAACGTAATGAAAATCCATTGGAGGAGAACTAATGATACTGTGGATGTAGGTCTGATGGAAAACTGATCCAGCATTCGAGGTACATGTCGATGGGGAGGTCTTGGTAATGCGAACTCCAGAGGCAGCTCCCGTTAGGAACACTTGGCTCTGAAATAAACATTCACTAATATCGTCAGCATGCTGTGAAGCGGGCTGGCCAGCAGAATGAAAGGAATCCCCAAAAACGTATGTGAGTAGGTATTTTATTAATACTTGAAGTTGGGTGTTTGTGGTATGCTGGCCCGATGACAATGTGCATGCCAGAATACTACCAGCTTTTCTTACCTGGCAGTCAGTCCTATACGATACATGTGTGCACACAGGTATAACGACCAGGAACGAAGCCGTAAAAATGCCCAAGGGGCCCGGTGGTGCCCCAAAAATCATTTACCCACCCTCTCCAAGCACACCTCCAGCTCGTTCGGCCGCAGAGCAAACCCCGGATTCTCGATGGTGAACGGCTTGTCGACGCCAGTGAAGCGGAAGCGCCGGACCAGCTCCGCGACGATGATCTTGATCTCCATGACGGCAAAGCCCTTGCCGATGCACATCCGGGGCCCGTTGGAGAAGGCCTCAAAGGCGAACGGCGAGGCCTGCTCGGGCGTCAATCGGTCCCACCGCGACGGATCCGGTGTCCCGGCGTCCTCGCCCCATATCGTCGGGTTGAGCATGGGCATGGCCGGCACGACGTCAACCGTCGTGCCCTTGGGGACGAACACGCCGTCTATCGTCAGGTCTGCGTCCGCCTGGCGGTGGCGCGATGTTGCTGTTGTTGCGTTTTAGTGATTCTGCGCGAAGCACAATCTAAAAGCATGCGAGAAAAGAAAGAGAAAAGTAAATGGGAAAGAAAAAGAGCTAGGAAAACTCACATGGAGCATAGAGGCGTAGGACCTCCTTGACGAAATTGTTGAGGTACGGAAGGGCGTCGATATCGGGAAATGGCAGTCCCGGCTATCGCTCAGCGAGCTTGTCTATCTCGTCACGAAGCTGCTCCTGGATACTGGGGTTCGTCGCCATCGTGTACACGCACCAGGCCGTATGGCGCAATGGTCAAATGCGCCTGGTTGTGTTCTCGTTTGTGCGGTGGGCGACGAGAACAAGTGGGTTCGAATCCTGCTATGGCCCCCTTCTGACCTGGCTTGTGCGAGTCGATAACCAGCACACGACAGTGGAGAGGCCCCTTATCGCAGAGCCCGATAGCCAAGTAGCTTGTCTCCATAACACCCATTCCTGCGAGGTTTTTCCCTTTGTGGTTTCCCTCGCCAGCAGATAACAAACATCTTCTTCACCCACCAATGCGACATATATCGAACGGCTACTGGAACGATATGTACACCATAGGACTGAGGTTCACTGGGTCGTTTTGTCACTGGACAGGAGGTTTTTCTGACGGAATCGTGCTTGGGTATTGACTAAAACCATCTGGTCACTCCAGGTTGGTACCGCTATAGCGAGGATAGGCTCGTGCGCGGATCTGAATGTATCTAGACTGACACCTCTACAACCTTGCGATGCAATGGCTCTGGGAGGCGTGGTTTGCCCTATGGAGGGACTGCATCCACGATAAATACAATCAATCAATCAGTGTACACGCACCACGTGACCGTGTCAGCGCTGGTCGCGTGGCCTGCCGCCATGAACTGGAGCAACTAGATAGAAAACCGTCGGTCGCGTCAGCCTTCGTTCGCTCGCACCTGTGGCTCGGAGACGGGAAGATCTTGGCAATGCAAGGCCATACGTACGTGACCCAAGAGGTTGCTCTCCGCGATGCCTTCGGCAGGCCCGCCCGGCATGCTCTCCTCGACGATGTAGCTCAGCAGATCCCGTGAGTCCCGCTTGAGGCTCTCGTACTTGCCGGACCGCCTGGCCTCATCGACCTGGCGGTACCTCTCGCGTATCAATTCGGTCAGGGCCTCCCGCTGTGACAATCAGGCCTGCAGCTGCGCTAGTCAGGGCTGATGGGATAAAATATCTAGATTCAACGATATCTAAGGAAGAAGAGGCAAGGTCGGAAGACAAAAAAACCGAACACCTTTTAATTTTACTTCTCGTGTCACGGGGCAGATACAAGCACAGGACGAAGATGCCCATCAATCACTCGTATTGTACAAAAATACTCTGGTAAGGAAAAGGAAGAAGGATCTAACATCCCACCAAAATCTGGTGGGAAGATAGATCCCCAATTCCGCCCCACTTCTATCTATCCAGCTGTGCAGCGGGGCAACGCGTCCACCCCACCAAGTCACGTGGTGGGAGCGCACGCACCATGATGGATGACAAATCCATCACATCTGTGACGGCCTGCACAGACCTTCCCACATGACAAGTGGATACTTCCCAATAGGGGAAGGATCTGACCAGAGGATCCCCTTAAAGGGGCAACCTCCCACTGTACCTATCTCTCTCTCTCTTCCTTTCCTCTCTAGTCTTGATATTCTCGTCAATAGAGTAATAGCTGCTTGCTACAGGCCATGTCCCAGCTCCTCAGTATGCTCGCCGTGACAATTATCACTGTATCTTGCTTGTTCACTCTCCAACTGATGATCCCGATACAGAGCTTTATCACGTATGCTTGGGAGCTCTTTTGATCGAGGGTGTTGTCTGCAAATGAGGCATCGCTCCAGCATTCAAATTAGATCTTCACCCCCCAGCTGAAGAGCAAAATATCTGGTTCCTTTCAGATACCCTAGCACGTGTTCAGCGGCTTCAGCATTGGTGGCATTTGCGTTGGTGTTGAAGTGCGATGGTCTGGAAGCGGCGAAAGCAACATCCAGGCGTGTGATGACTGCGGCGTACAGGATCGACCCTGTCTTCTTCAGGTACCTATTAGCTGACGCTGGTGAGGCAAGTTCGTCGCTTGGGAGCAGCTCAAACGGCTTCATCGGAGTGTCTGGCAGTTTCTTGTTTTGGTCAATATGGCTCGTGATCTTGTCAATGTATGATGCCTGTGATAGCCAGATGAGGGGTTGACTACGGTCCCTGATGATCTCTATGCCCAGAAACCACTGCAGGGGATCCCCTTTTGTGAGCGTGTAGATGGCCTTGATCTGCTTCATGGTAGCCTCCACTGCTTTGTGATGGTGTTGTTTAAACGCCACCACTATGTCGTCCACATAGAAGAAGATGATCATGCCGTCCTTGGTGAAACAGCAGGGCTCGTAAGGGGCTGGCTTAAAACCGAGGCTTGATAGCGTTTTGGTGAAGTGCTTCTGCCATAGCAAGGGAGACTGTCTCAGACCATACAGTGCTTTTTTGAGCAGCAGGATCTTCCCTGGTTGGCGATGCCCTGGCGGTATCCTTATGTACAGCTCCTTGTCCAAGTCAGCGTTGACGAAAGCGTTCACAGCGTCGTATTAGATAAGTTCCAGATCGAATCGAGCGGCGATAGCGACAAAGGCTCTGAAAGATCTGCCTTCGAGTATGAATGCGTATGTATCTTCAAGGATGTTCTTGTTTTGCTGGTCTCCTCGTACAACGAGACGAGCTTTCCATGTGATTGATTGATTGATTGTATTTAACGTGGGGGATCGCTCCTCAGTAGTGCAAACCACGCCTCCCAGAGCCTCTGCATCGCAGGGTTGTGGAGATATCAAGATAATAAGTACAGTCAGTCCCGCTCACGAGCCCATCCCCGTTGTTGTAGTGGTATGACTTTTGGGTCATCTATCTGGTCCTTTAAGAACAGCTATCTATTAGGGACAGATTGTTGAAGAGAACTTGCTCTTCTCAACGAATCTTGCCCATTCCGCGCTCCTCTCTCCTAAGTATTGTAAACAGGCTGGCCTAGGCGAGTACCTAGGCAGCAGTCAGTTTTTCCCAAGCCTCTTACAAAAGAAAATATGTTATGGTGTTTTCTTCTCACCACAGCTGCAGTGATTATTTGAGTCTGTATGCCCAAAGTGTTCATGATATCTGGCAAAGTCGCCATGTCCAGATCTGGCCGCTAGAAGTCTGTATAAAGTACTCCTCTTAAAAGATATAAGGTCTCTTTTAGTTACTGTATGTGAGTATACTTCTTGATACTTAAGTTCTGATTGGTCTTTTTACCATTAATTGAACTCTTTTTTGTTCTTTTTTTTGAGATCTCTCTTGACCCAAGAGATTATAGGAAGATTTATTGTGTCTGTTTCTAACATGGTACTCTCTTTTGTTAGTGTGTCGGCAGCTTTGTTGCCATCAATATCTCTGTCCAGGAATCCACTTGACGGTCACTCCAGGAGTGTGTGCTGTGGCAAGTTCTTAAAATCGTAGAAAAATGGTTTGTGATGTCTTAGGTGGAGTCCCATTGAGCCTATCTACCACTGACGTGTTGTCCAGGCAGACATATAGCTGTTTTCTGTGTCCAATTGCCCTGGCTGCTACAAGACCTTGGAGAGCACCATGGACTTCAGTATCTACTACTTCTGCTTGGAGAAGTCTGCCCTTTCCCCGGTATATATCTTGTGTAGTGCCGCCTTTCCTGATGGTATAACCCCATCCAGTGCGGGTTATGCCTTGGTCGTCTAATTGTGATCTATCTGAGTAGATAATAAGGTTAG